CTGGACCATCAAGATTCAAATTCAGTGTTGTTGATCCTGGACCATCAAGATTCAAATTCACTGATGTTGATCCTGGATTATTAAGATTCAAATTCAGTGGTGTTGATCCTGTACCATCAAGATTCAAATTCATTGTTGTTTATCCTATACCATTAGGGTTTAAATTTACAGATGTTGATCCTGGATGATCAAAGTTAAAATATACAGATGTTGATTCTAACCATCAAGATTCAAATTCACTGATTTTAATCCTGGACCACCAAGATCCTACATTCAGTGATGTTGATCCTGGACCATAAAGATTCAGATTCACTGATGTTGATCCTGGACCATCAAGACTCTAATTTACATATGTTGATCCTGGACCATCAAGATTATAATTTACAGATGTTGATCCTGGACCATCAAGATTCTTATTTCAGTGATGTTGATCCTGGATCATCAACATTAAAATCAGTGATGTTGATCCTAGACCACCAAGATCTTAATTTCAGTGATGTTGATCCTGGACCATTAAGACTAAAATTTACTGATGTTGATCCTGGACCATCAAGATTAAAATTCACAGATGTTGATCCTGGACCATCAAGACTAAAGTTCACCGATGTTGATTTTGGACCATCAAGATTCAAATTCACTGATGTTGATTCTGGACCATCAAGACTCTAATTTACAGATGTTGATCCTGGACCATCAAGACTCTAATATACAGATGTTGATCCTGGACCATCAAAATTAAAATATTCAGATGTTGATCCTGGACCATCAAGATTCAAATTCACTGATGTTGATCCTGGACCATCAAGAATGAAATTCACTGATGTTGATCCTGGAACATCAAAATTAAAATATACAGATGTTGATCCTGGACCATGTGCAGTGCACATGTCCTTTTTAGTCTTGGATAGAAAGTGCCCTTCCAAAATGATCTGAAGTGCCCCAGCGACATCCCCACTCTTCAGTTCGCGCGCGACAACCCCCCACCTCCACCCCTTGCTTTTCATTTCGTGTGCGACACCCCCCCACCACCACCCCTCGCTTTTCAGTTTGCCCACAACAACCTCCCTACCCCATCCCCCCCTCCCCCCAACTCTTAAAAAATTTGTATCCTGCACATGCCCCTTGGATAGTCTCTGCAAGGGGCTGATGGGCGGACAGATAAGAGATCTGCGGATGAATCACAGCTTTAAAACGATCCACAGTCCTTATCGGTGTTTGCACTCGGTAAACAGCGGTTAAGTTCGGTGAACTGATGATGACCTTCACGGTCAAATGGCGGGGTTTTGGACCGCGCTCAACAGCAAATTTTTGTTATAGTTACGGAAATACAGTATCATGACAACTTAATGTTAATTTCTTCTTAACAGAGAAACATTAATTAGGAAAAAATTTGAAATGTAACTGAAAATATTTAACCAGCAGTGAGCTCGACAGCCATAAAGAGACAATTAATTTAACATTACATACGTTTATATCGTATAACTGTTCATATAACCATCTTAATAACGTACATGTTGAAACAACAAAATACTAAACTAAATGGAGCATCACAGAGTTGCCCTCGATTAAAACTTCAAGGCTAACTGTGTCCTACTGTCTTCTTCAGAGTTCACAGTTCAAAATAAATGGATATAAAAGTACGATTAGGAAAATCGCACAAAAAAGATTTAAGTAAGATCATTGGCATTGTTTAAGCTTTATCTTTAACGTTACCCCACTGTGATGGAATCGATCGAATGACATGGTCACAAAGTGACTCATATTCGATGTTTTAACAATCAAAACGCATCAAAATACACCATATGTCGAAATATTAGCACATTTACTCACATAAATAGATAAAATGATGTTTTAAGACGTTAAGCAAGAGCTTACCTTTAGGGCCCCCTAATTCCCTGCGGCCCTAAGCGGCTACTTACTTCGCTTATTGGTTAAGTCCGCTCCTGCTTCCGTCTTATTTCCCTGTTGAAAATAAGAAAAAACTATCAAAGAAATTCTAATTATTTCCATTACAGACATACTATTAAAAACCATCAAACTTTAATCATCAAAACCAGCACATTTTCATAATTTCTAATGTGTAAATGGAGACCTATAAATGTTCTACAGTCTGCTATATATGAAAAAGTAACCTACAGAAACCCATAGGCCCATTAGAATTTCCTTTAAAACCAATACCATTTCCATTTTAACCAAATAAACAATTACAAATACTGCGATGATTTTTTTTTCCTCAGCAAGAATATAAAATGCTCCCTTTCTATCTTACTCCAGGTACAGCTATGGGACACGGCCGGTCAGGAGCGCTTCCGTAAAAGCATGGTGCAGCACTACTATCGAAATGTGCATGGTATCGTCTTCGTCTTTGACGTCACAAACCAATCCAGTTTCTGCAATCTGCCTTTGTGGATGGACGAGTGCCGTCAGCACTCTCTTGGTCTGGAAATTCCACGTGCCCTAGTTTGCAACAAGGCTGACCTGATGTCTTCAAATGCTTCTGTGCTAATCGAGCAGGCTCGTCATTTGGCTGAAGTCCACGGGATGTCTTTTTATCTCACTTCAGCCAAAGGTCTTAAAGGCGACCAGGTGGACAGCATCTTCATGGCTTTAGCACAGAGGCTGAAGAGCCAGAGAAGGGAGAGCGTAAATGGACGTGTGCTAGAGTGCAGAGCTGAGAGCTTAAAAATCCAGGCACGGGTTATAACAGCCCAAGAGACTAAAAAGAAATGGACCTGCATCTGCTAAAGCATGAAAGCGTGTCCATTTAAAACGGATACAGCAAAAACAGTACGTCTATTAAGAATCGGCCACTGGTCATGCCTCCATTTTTAATGACTCCATCTGTAATTTGTAAAGGGATGGTCACTCAAAAATGATAATATACTGTACAATTACTCACCCTCTGGGTATTTTAGATCCAGAGGACGTTCTTTTCCTTTATCAGTAGGTTGTTAAATGTGCTGTTTGACTCTTCTTAAGCATAAAAATACCATATGTTTGCAGATATTTGAGAAACTAAGTGAACATTCCTCAGAAACAATGCTGAGGTCAGTTATTCTTTTTTTAAAATGAATGTGCGTGCTGTGTCAGAACATCTCTTTGTTTTGGTCTCTATAACCTGCCCACTGCCAGTTTACCAATTACATTTCGGCACCTTGGGTTGCCTTGATTGCAAACGTATTTCAGGTGTCAATCCTACATACTGCATGTTTACAGATCAAATCATTTTTGAATTTCAATGTCTCATCAGGATTTATGAACATGAGATAGCTTTGTCTGTGTACAGTGGTCCCTCGCTATAACAATCAATTTTCGCAGCCTCGCAGTTTTACAGATTTATTTTTTCATGCAATTTGACGTGCTTTTTTTTCAGCACATTGTGTTCTGCTTTCAGATTATCTGTAGACCATTGTCAATCAATCTCCTTCGCGCCATGTCTCCTGTACAGCAAAGAATGCGTTCAGCTTGCCAAATTTACATAAATCTTCGATCGCTAGTAGTGTGACTCTAAAGTACTGTACTCTACGTTTGCAAGTTTTCTCCCCACAATGTCGACGAAACGTTCTGCACCGTCAAAGGCACCTGCGGTAGCACCCAAAAGGCAGAGAAAGATGTTAACCGTCACACAAAAAGTTAGACTTCTGGACATACTAAAAAAAAGTAGAAGTTACGCGGTTGTAGGGCGCCATTACGGAATAAATAAATAAAGATCAAATGGTTTCGATCTTTGGCTTCATTCTACAATACCGGACTCTTTTTTTTTTTTTATACTAAGGTTTCAACTTTTAGTGTTTAGACGAGAGAAAAACGTGTGAAAATGTTAATGCCTGTCTGAGAAAAGTGTATAAAGTGTGTAGTGGGAGGTTTTACAGCCTTAAAGCATCTATAAATATTGTAAAAGCTGACTACTTTGTAGATTTATATTTTTTTATTCTAAAAATGTCAGTAGCAGTTCAACCCTTCAAAGGCAAAAGTATCTATGCATACAGTGAAACTGAACAAAATGCATATTTTGCATACATAAAATTTGAAAAAACTGTATGCGAGAAGTACCTGAATGATCTACAGTACTACTTCCAGTGAGATTCTTAAGGGCATGTCTGATGGACACTACGCTATCCCATAATGCACTGAATGAAATTATGATGCAACTGACACATGTAGGTCATGTAAAAATGACAACTGGCAGATGTAGTATGTCTGTGTTCCTCTCATACTCACATTAATATTGAATAGAATGAAATTTTATGACAGACTTGAAGTAAATTGAAATTGAAATGTAGTACCCACTTGAGTAGTATTTGATTTCAGATACAGCCTTTGTCTCAAGACAGAACGAATGTCACAATGCCTATTTTAGGCCATACTAATTAATCTTAACCAGATGTGTAGTTACTGCACTTTGCCATTGTAAGGCAGAGTTGATTTGCCTTATTACCCATCACAAAGTACAACAATCAATTGTAAATAATAATAAAAAAATCACCAAGTACCACCCTTACAGTAATAAAAATCTATTTTATTATACTGAAGAAAAGTCTACAACATCTTATGGTTTAAGGGTGAGTAAATGAATTGCATTTTTGTATTTTTGGGTGCTCTCTTTGAGATTTTTTTTGTTTTGTTTGGTAGATGAAGTCTATGTTTCCTCAAACAACAGTGTGTATGAACCAACACATTATAATGAAATAAACCGCGTAACAGTAAAATTAGATTTAATTTCCTGTTTCTTTGTGGGCTTTATTATAGTTGATGTTAATGTGTATTTTTAATGCTGTATTTTCTAGGCGTGAATGTTTCTTCATATATATGTCTATAGATTTTTGGTCCTCTTGAAACATCCACATAACACAATTAAAATATTTGTAGTTTAGTGGCCTATTGCGTTTTCTTCAGTTGTTTGGTTTGTGAGAATTTGCAACATGTCACGTGTGCTGTCAAACTGATGAAGAATGTTTCTTTATTTGCTGTTTTTTTTTTTTTAATTGCATGTGCTTTCTTAAATTGCAGCGCATTAAGCTCTCTTGGCCACCGTACAGATCTGGCCCACACAATCAGGTTTTGCCTGGCCCACATGGCGCAGTGAATTACGGTACATGATTAGACCAAACATAAACCATATCTAGGCCAAGTCTCAGCCAAGTGAATAACTTAACTCATAACTGGGCCTGAATTGGGCCAGATAAGTTGGTGTGTCACAATTGCAATGAAATTAATAAACCAATGAAGCACATTATGCTTTTTCCCAAAGCGACCTGATTGGTAGAATTTTTTTCTTAACTCAAAAATAATTGTAATGTATTTTAAATATTTTAAAAATATATATATACAAGACATACATATTGATACGCAAATACTACATTTTAAATCTGGCCCAAATCTTGTGTGCCACCTTTGCCAAATTTGGGCCATGTTTGGCCCACATGCTGTGCCAGTGCCAGACGAATGCCTCCTGTGTCAGCTTTATGTTAAATTTGAGCCAGAATTCATTGCTACCTGGGTTGTACTCTTCAGTCATAGTGTTATAATGGGTGTCCAAATCCTGCTTGTTGTTGGCCACTTTCCTCCATATTTTAGCTCTAACCCTAATTAAGCACACCTGAATCAGCTAATCAAGGCCTTACCAGGCTTATGGTACATTCCAAACAAAGCCTTTTAAAGGCGAGCTTGAAATCATTAGCCAAAAATGCATAAAGACTAATGCTAACACTGCCCCAATGACACAATGGCTTTTAGTCTCCTGTGATTGGCTAAGACATGCTTCACATGACCAAGTTAGCTTTACGGGATTACCATGTATAGGTATTGCAGGCATTTTTATCTCCCCCAAAGTAAGAAAATCTCTGACTCACCCTCAAAAGAGTACTATGGAGTAAAAACAATTATGGCAGTCATATTGAAGTGTCATTCCAAATCAAAACTAGCCATTTTAAAGCACCCTTCAGAATAAAAGAGTTCCAAGAGTACAACTAGTAGACACCTCAGGGCCCTATGATACTTGATGCAAGTGTTAAACAGCACGTTTCATATAAAACAGTTCAACTCAATATGTCCTAATCCCTTCAGAGCTGACACTTCAGAGAGTAAACCCTTCAAAGGGATTATGGCATAGGGAAGAACCCTTCCGAATGGAACATGCTGTTATTAGAAACTACCTGACAGGTGTGTTGAGGCAAGTTAGAGCTAAATTCTGCAGCAAGTGGCCCTCCAGGAGTGAGCTTGAACACCCCTGTGTTATAACTTTCTCTTCCTCAGAAAAGATTCTGCTCCAAACTCACTTCTCCCAATCTCAACAAAGAAAATACAACTACAACCAACAAATAAAAGATGTGTATTATACCTCACATTTAATGTTTTCCAACTCATTACCTATTTAATTTTAAGTACAATGTTGACTTACTTTCCCTGACCCATTTTATTTAAAACACCTGATCCAGATAACCAGCTCATTATGGCCCGTTTCCACTGTCAAAAGATACCTAAAAGTGAACCGTCCCGTACCACATTTTTACTTTTTGGTTTACTTTGTAAAGTGTACCAAAAGGCGTAGCTGCGTAGCTGAACGTTATTAAGTGTCACTTGATTGTGGAGCTAGTAAGAATGAAAACAAAGGAATCGCCATGTTTTAAACACACAGCAGAGACATAATATCGTAACACTCGAGGAGCTCCAGGCAAGAACTGTGTGCTGAATGACAGGGTGCCTAAACAGAGTTCATTGCTCGCAACTCCCTAAGTACAGGAGATCTCTACTTCACTATGTAATGCTCATTCATGGATTTTCACAATGCCTGCAGTGTCTTCACACACAAATGACACTTACTAGAGAAGTGTGAAGTGTGACAAACCTCTTTAAGTGTATACATACATTCATTTAATTTTATAAGAGGAACACTTTTGTACTTTTTAGGTACAAATATGTACCCTTGATGTATTAAAATGGACCTTTTAGTTACAAATTTTCATGTTTTAAAAAAGTACCACCCCAGTGACAGTTCGAATACCTTTATTTCTGAGATTGTAAAGCGCATATTTTTGGACTGTGGGGAAAACGGAGTACCCGGAGGAAACCTACGCAAACTCGGGGAGAACATACAAATTCCATGTAGAAATGCCAACTGACCCTGATGAGTAAATACATTTTATTTATTTGATTAAAAAAATACAGGCTACGTTTGAACTGAAATAATGCTGGAATATCCCGTAGAGTTCACTTCACAGGGCACTTAGTCAAATAAGAACAAACATCTGAAGTGATAAGAGAACCATACAAAATGTGCAGAGAGATATGGGGCATGCAGATTGGGATTGAGAACCATTGGTCTAGGCCAGGGATCACGAAACTTGTTCCTGGAGGGCCGGTGTCCTGTAGATTTTAGCTCCAATCCTCCTAATCAAACACACCTGAACAAACTAATCAAGGTATAGGTATACTTGAAACACCCAGGCAGGTGTGTTGAGGCAAGTTGGAGCTTAACCCTGCAGGACACCGGACCTCCAG